GACGAAAACCTTTCATGGAATATGCACATTGAAAAAATAGCCAAGAAAATCGCATCGGGCATTGGAGCAATTAAACGTTGTAGGCCTTTTGTTAATCGAACCACGCTTGAGTCCGTTTTCAATGTCTTAGTTCAACCGTACTTTAATTACTGCAGCGAGGTCTGGGGGCATTGTAACAAGGGTCTTTCGAATAAGCTCCAAAAGTTGCAAAACCGGGCTGCCCGTATTCTGACCTTCTCCAGTTATGACACAAGCGCTGATCCTCTTTTTGTGCAACTTAACTGGAGACGGTTAGATACTCAGCGACAAATACAAGTGGCCACCATGGTCTATAAATCTATACATGGTCTTGCGCCCGACTATCTTGGTTCTCTTTTCACTAAATATGATCCTCCATATAATCTAAGGAACTCTGAAAACAAACTAGCTGTTCCATTGCCCCGCACCAATTTCCTGAAAAATAGCTTTAGCTATAACGGTGCGGTTATCTGGAATAGCTTGTCCCCTGAATTGCGGCAAGCAAAATCACTTCAATCCTTCCGAAATGGTTGTCGCAATTTCTTCGTCTGAATCGACAAAACACACACGGCATCTATGTAAAGCAGAATTTTTTTATTTTTTTTTTCTATTTCACTTTTAAATTTTAGATCATGTTTATATAGATTAAAATAGATTGTAACTGTAATAATAGATTGTAATAATATTATCATTTTATCTGATAGATTTACCGTGTTTAAATAAAAATAAAGTTCAAAGTTCAAGTTCAAGTACAGTTTTGGGATGAGCACTGAGAGTATAGTGGGCAGGACAAGCCTACAAAATAGCTTTAGCCAGCAGTTAAGTTCCACGAAAAAACTCTATTCTATTCTCACTGCTTAACTGTCAAAATATCTTTTAGTACAAGGCGGCGTGGATGACGAGTGGAAAAAATGTCGACGATCTCATTAATGTCAATCTCTCTGCCATAGTGGATTTTTATCATCGCCAGACCTGACTGTCCCTCTGTAGTCATTGTACTTCTTAAGTAAGTCTTCAGGCGTTTTAAGGTGCTCAATGACCTTTTGCACTCCGCGGAAGTAACAGGTAAAGTGTAAAGAATGCGAAGTAGGGCATTTATGTTGGGAAAGAAAATAGGGTCGCATTCTCTAAGTGTGGCTGAGGCACTATTTGGAAGACTCGATTTATCAGCCACTTTTCACCATTTGCGACGCCAACGGACAAGCTCAACGGCAACGAGATCCAGTGATACCAAATCATCTCGATAAAACTGAATTGCTGCATCAATTGTGGCGTCACTTGAACTGACCAATACTTCAGGTACCAAACACATCAGGTTGCAGACATTCATCTGACTTTCACTAAAGTACGTGTCCAGTTGGGCTATAAAGTGGTCCATCAGTGGAATGCACAGTGAACGTTGAAAGTACTGAACAGGTGTGGCAGCTGGAACGTTCTCACGATGCTGCTGTCTGTTGGCAATTCTTGTAAGTGCGGGTTCAACATCGACGTCTTTTGCCTAGTTCAACGCTTGCTTCGTACCACCGATTGAAGTGAACCTCGATAGCTTTCAGCTCTGATTTCACAGAGTTAACTTGGGTGTAAGCCTTATAAATGTCACTGTCGCGTTTCTACAGTTGCATACTTAGTGATTTCAGAAGAGACAAACACTTCATCACTGTGTTCATCGTTACTATGAACTGGAACTGAGTTACGACTGCCAGAAAACCTTTCGCCTTTGTGCACGTTTCCTGGTCCCATCTCCAGGATCCGTACTCGTCAAGGTAGACACGCTCATTTGCCATTACTTCTAATGTCTTAACAATTGCTCTGAAGAGGCTGTCAAATACCTCGCACGCCTCATGCCTCTTTACCCAGCAGGTGTGGCAAGGACTAGTTAGGGTGGTCCGGCGTGTGTTAGGGCATATAATGTTGATAACCACCGCTAACAGCTCGTGCCTTTTCGGTGAGAACTTGATAAAATAACATATTTCATTAAGTGTTCTTATCATGTTTCGTATCATAACAATATCACAGAAATGCACAATAGCAAGATTTAGGCAGTGTGCATTACAGTGCGTATAGACTGTTTTGGAGCTCGTTTGTCTGATAAATGCTTGCGTACGTCTTGCAGCCGAGGACATACTACATGCTCCATCATATCCTTGCCCTCCGCAATTTTTCATATCTAATGACCAGGTTTGGAGCGTTTCGAGGAATGATATGGCCACAGCTTCACCTGTCGTCCGTGCTAAACTTACAAATCCAAGAAATTCTTCATGTATACTACAAGTTTCATCGACAAATCGAATTGATATGCAAAGCTGTTCAGTATTCCAAACGTCAGTTGTTTCATTGGCGAAAATTGTGAAGAAAGGTGCATACTCTGGAATTTCATTAATAATTTGGTTCCTCAAATACTCCATTGTTATCTCTATTATGTCATGCTGAATAGTAGCAGACGTATAAGTAGCATTTCTTGCGCACTCGCGTAGGTGTTTCGCAATAAACTCATCTCCTCTTTCTGCACGAAAGTCAAGAGGTGCAAGAAAATATCCTCGATTCTTGCTATTTTTATCCGTACTGGATTCCATATGACGACGAAGTGCAATATTTTGTTTTCCGCAAAATATTACACTTGATACAATGCTTCTTAGAACCTTGCGGTTGTATTCAATCTGTGCTACTCTTCAAGATTCGATAACGGACGAAATCGCTTTTTCTGGAAAGCGCATCATCTTTACAAGGTTTTCGGCCTAAAGAAGAGCGTCAGTGTGATATTTCCTTTTAGAATGCTCTTTTAATATTTCATTTGCCTTATTAAATTTTTGCAAGTCGAAACTCACAAGTGTCCCAGTGTTCGCAACGTAGGAACTTAGTGGAAACACGAGACATACTCGACAAAGGTTCCCGTCCTTGGAAGGACGGTACACTAGCCACGTATATTCTTTCAGCCAAGAGATTTGAAACGACCTGTTCTTGCCATACATTTAAGTCTTTGGGAAAACTAATTTTTCGGATAGCGTATGGTCCCTGTTTAATAGCTGAAACTATTCTTGGTCTGATAGATTTCTTTTTTTCTGCAGTTAGCAGTCCAGCAAAGTCATCTATAGCCTCAACTACAAAAGAAAGTGCAACAATTTTGAAGATGATAGTCAAGGAAATTTTTGTTATATATGTCATGGCTCCTAAATGTCAAACAGTTACAGCTTGACGCCACTGTAACCATTTCTCTATCTAACAACAACTTTATATACAAAGGATTAAATCATCAACAATAAAGAAATAACACGTGATCGTTATGGATTCCTGTGTGTTTTGTAATGCCTCGCATTTTTTAAATCTCTTGGCAACGAGAGTGACAATCAGTTCGTTCAGCACAGTCTTAGTTCACCAAACATGTTTTCTGAGTAATTCCATTCTTCTATGGTATGACAGTCTAAATTTGGTGTCATGAAAAACACTAAAAATGACAACCGTGGGAAATTTAAAATTCTAACACATGAAAGGACATCGAGATTACAACAACCATATATCTTGTATATTCGAAGACTAGGATGGCTAAGTGCATTGGCAATCAACTCCTCAGAATCGAACTGCTCGCACATAATTAAACTAAGAGTTTCCAGAGCTTACAGTGCCTCTCAAATATGCCTTTAAAATTATACCTCGTGTAGAAAGGAGGACGCCCTGTATCCTGTAATGTAAAACGGTTCCATAACATAGCAGTATGGGATAGCTAGAATATTCGCTTGCATGTACTTGACAAGCTTTGAATGACTGATGATAGCGGTAGGTATTGAAGAATTTTCAAAAAAATTTTATCTGGAAGATCCAGGAAACCTATATCGATAAAAAAAAATATCGAGTGACTATGGTATTACCTCTAGTTTTATCAAAACAACCAAAAGAAAATAACGAACTAAACTTACCAGAGGCCGTTGTTGGTGTTGGTGTCTTATCGAATATCTCCGATGTTGTATCGCCGTCTTGTACGTCTGTATTCATCGTCAGCAAGAACAAAAACAAAAGTATCAGACAGAAAGACAAAGCCTCTCCTGAATCCATACATATTCATTTTGAATGAATTTTGCATGAAACTTTACCATTGTTGGGTTTAACTCGCTTGCAAGCTGGCTCCACTTCGACACTTTCATTGACAACGTGCTCCAGTTGCTCTAGCCTGAAAAAACACACGGCAAACAAACCACTGTAATTAAATGTAGCAACTTAGATGCCGATCGTCAGAGAAGAAAGAGTTAAACCTAAATCTGATAAAGAACATTCCTTACCCCTCTTGATTTTCCTTGCACTGAAAATAGCTGAAAAGTTTCGTTTGCTTCGAGATTTCCAAGCTGAAACTGGTTATGTTAAGCAGAGACACCATCCGGGGATCGCCGACTATATATGGTTTACACAGCTGCTCTCCACGTGTATCAGCGGGCTCAGTCGTATTATCGGGGCATGAAGACCCATATTAACTAAATACAAGAGCCGTTGACGAGAATAATTTCCAAAAAAAACAAATTTTAAAAAAATTGGGCTTTTTCAACAATGGCTTTTACGGCCAGGATATTGTCATGGCGTTTTCGCCACCTGAATATTGTAGATTGTTTGCTTAAAAGAAGGCCTACCAAGGGGGGTTCATGGGCACCCCAGGAACCCCCTGGTTACGCCCTTGGTCTAAGAATATAACATCAGTTGACAAGCTTTTGTTTCTCTCACGACCGAGTCGTGAAACGAGGATAATAATTGAGAAAGACAAGATATCCCTTTCAGGAAGCCAAATTGCTCCGGAATAAAGACCTCGTTTGCAGTCCAAAAGTGGACAAACTGCTGTCCTACTATCACTTCGCACACTTTGCACACCACCGATGTCAGTAAGACTGGACGATACTTCTTTCCATTGGTTTTAGCGCCTTTCTTATGTAAAGGAGTGATGTCAGCCAATTTCCAACTGTGTGGTGACATGCCCGATATATAAGACGCATTAAAAACATCACTTTGCGAGGAAGCTAGGGTTCCAGCGCATTTCTTTAAGATCATGGGATGTATACTGTCCGGATCAGGAGATTTACGAGTTTTAACTCACTTAAAATCTTGCTAACATCGTTAGGTGAACAGTGGAGAAAACTAAGATCCTTGTCTTTGATAACTTGGTCAAATAATGGAAAGTTTTCAAGGTTTTCGGCTGTAAAAACAGAGGCAAAATATTCATCCATGTTCTCAGCAATGTCACCTTCGTTTGTAGCACAATGCCATTGTCAAGCTTTATAACAATTACATCATTGGATCCTTTGTGCCTGGAATGCATGTAATTCCAAAAAAATTTGTATTCGTTATTGTTGTGCATATCGTTAGCCAATTTATCAAGGTACTCCCAGCGTGCCTTGTTACATTCTTTCTTCAACAAATTACTTACCTTTTTGTAAGTGGACCACGATTTATCATCATTACCGATCTTGGCTTTCTTGTACAACCGCTTCTTTTTGCGCACTAGCCTAATTAACTCAGCTGAGATCCAGGGAGACCGGTGATTTTTCTTCTTTTTCTTTTTTGAAATACAGTCATCAACAGCGGTAAAAAAATAAATCGGTCCACGCACTCCAGACTTCGTTCACATCATTGGAAAGAAAGGCACAATGCCATGGAATGTGTTGAGACAATTCATTCAAATGTGACCAGTCAGCCTTGTTGAAGTCGTCAAATTTTCTTTCAGATGATTTGCGATGTAGGGCTTCAGAACTGTGAAGATAACGGAACAAGTCCCTTGATAACACTGATAGTGTGAGCAGAATCAACTCAAGAAAGCTTTATACATCTCAAAGCCACAAGTCAGGCAAGCACACTGAGTCAAAGCCTACCAAAGCATGCTTATACTGTGGGTGACTGCATGAGCTTGTGAAAGCTAAATGTGCTGCTTATGGCAAAACTTGTAATTGTTGCAAAGAAGCAAATCACACTGCTGCATGTTGTGGAAAGGCCACAAGTAACAAGTCTCCTGGACAAGGGCAGGTAAGATCTTTTCATGATGATAATGATTATGCTGCTGAAGGTCAACACTACGAGGAAATAAGTACGCGCAGTACTCACTCAAACACTTTATACTCAGTTAAGGACAGTTACAGCAGAAAATTATTTGCAACTATGTCTATCTACAACACAGATGTTAAGTTCCAGCTGGACTCAGGTGCAACCTGCAACGTCATTACCTCACAGGTCCTTCGGCGTAGCCATTGTGATGCAGAGATCACCCAAACAAGCAAAATACTCTCTATGTATAATGGTACAACCGTGAAACCCGAAGGCCATTGCAAAGTAAAGATGACAAACCCAAAGAATGGTCGCAGATATCTGGTTAATTTTGAAGTTCTACCAGGCTCCCCTACTCCAATTCTTGGAAACAAAGCTATTCAGCAAATTGTGCTGAAAAAAGGGCTAGAAGAGAACATTCAAAGTTTAAATGTAGAGCAGACAGTAGTAACCAAAGATTCGCTTTTGAAACAGTATCCGCAAGTATTTGAAGGCATTCGATGTATGCCAGGCAACTATCACCTAACTGTTGACTCATCTGTGAAGCCTGTAGTACACCCTCCACGGAGGGTAGCCCTGTCTCTGAAAGTAAAGGTAGAGGCAGAACTCCAACGACTTACTGAGTTAGAGATTATTGAGCCATTATCTAAACCTGCCCAGTGGGTTTCAAGTATGGTGACTGCACCAAAGCCAAATGGAGATATCCGAATCTGCATAGATCCAAAGGATCTAAACTGTGCTCTGCAGCGAAGCCACTGCCCGATACCAGCTATGGATGTTAGACTTCCTAGGCTAAACAAGGCCAAATTTTCTTGTACAGTTGACTTGAGGTGGGGTTTTTGGCAGGTTCGTCTGGACGATGAAAGTGCCGACTTGACGACCTTCAACACCTCTTCAGTCAAATATCGATAGCTACGGATCCCATTCGGTATATCATCTTCGCCGGAAGAATTTCAAAGGCGACGGCATGAAGCAGTCGAAGGTCTACCTGGTGTGATATCAGTGCATGATGATATCCTAACTTATGGAGAGGGTGATACAGAGCATGAAGCCGTGGTCGACCATGACAAAAACATGCGAGCTCTATCGGAAAGATGTAAAGAGCAAAACATCACACTTAATGAAGATAAGATCTAGCTCAAGAAATCTGAAGTGCGCTTCCTAGGCCATCTACTAACTGCCAATGGAGTACAGGCAGACCCTGAGAAAATTCGTGCCATTACTGAGATGCCCAAACCTACAGATATCAAAGGTGTGCAGCGATTCCTAGGCCTTGTTAACTATCTAAGTAAGTTCTTGCCCAAAGTGAGTGAAGTTTGTAAACCCCTAGGCCAATTGACATTGAAGGAAACCGAGTGGTGCTGGCTTGAGGTCCATGACAAAGTTTTCCAAGAGATCAAGCTGCTTGTCACCGATTCCCCAGTGCTGCGATACTACCAACCTGAAGAAGAACTAACCCTAAAGTGTGATGCTTCAGACAAAGGCTTGGGTGCTGCACTTCTGCAGCAAGGACAACCCATAGCTTTTGCAAGCCGGGCTTTAACAGCATGTGAGATGGAATATGTGCCGATTGAGAAAAAGCTACTGGCTGTTGTTTATGGGATGGAACGATTCCACTATTACACCTATGGTCGAAGGGTGGTAGTTAACTCTGACCACAAACCTCTGGAGTCAATTGTAAGGAAACCTCTACACATGGCACCAAAGAGACTGCAGCGAATTTTGCTTCGGCTTCATGAATATGACGTAAATCTAAGGTATCTGAGAGTGACTGAGATGTTTTTAACCGACACCTTGAGTCGTAGAGCCTACCTTACCGATGAAGCTCCGAGTGCCTTTACAGAAGAACTTACAATGATCAATGCCACTAACTTTAGATACCTAACTGCCTTGCGTCTTCAAGATATAGCTGAACACTCCAAGAAAAACCTTGCACTCTTAGAACTGGACAGAATGATTTGTAGCGGATGGCCAGCGAAGAGAGATAACGTAGAGCCATCACTAATACCATACTTCAACTTTCGTAATGAGTTCGCCGCACAACAAGGTGTTATTTACATAGTAGAAAGAGTTGTCATTCCCCTAAAACTGAGGAAAGGCATGATTAAGCTAATACACTCGTCACACATTGGCATAGAGGGGTGCCTCAGGAGGGCGCGAGTCTTTCTGTACTGGCCTGGAATGGATGCACAGGTAAAGAACTACATACAGTCCTGTAAAACATGCCTTTCTACTGGTTCCAAACAACAAAGGAAACAATAATGCATCACGAAGTCAAGGACCACCCTTTGTCTAAAGTTGGTCTTGATCTCTTCGACTTTAATCAACGAACATGCCTAGTTACTGTTGATTATTACTCATATTTCTTTGAGGTAGACTACCTCCAAGGCACAACCTGAAGGGATGTCATCCATAAAGTAAAGGCACACTTCGCACGTTATGGCATGATAGACACAGTCATGTCGGACAACGGCCCCCTGTTTTCATCAGAGGAGTTAAGAAACTTCAGTAAGAGATGGGGCTCCAAACACATCACATCCCTTCCTAAACATCCGCAAAGTAATGGAATATCAGAAAGTGCAATGAAGACAGCTAAACGTCTAGTAAAACGTGCACTGTTGGCACTTGAGGATGCTTATCTTTCCCTGCTCGACTTGAGGAATACACCTACACAGGGGAGGACTACGAGCCCTGCTAAGAGGATGCTAAACAGTCGGACAAATACACTCTTGCCTACGTCTTAGAAGCTCTTGCAACCAAAACTAAACCACTCTGTACCCGGAGAAAAAAGTATGATCACAGATAAGGAAATAAAGTACTACAATGCTAAGGCCACAGACCTTCCACCACTAACCACCGGATAGGCATTGATGATAAAACCTGACAGAAAAAGGAAGCTGTAGTGCAAGGCAACAGTAGTTGACCGGAGCGACAACAGACCCATATCCTTTGAAGTAGAAACTGATACTGGGTGGGTACTGAGCCGAAATCGCAGACACGTTAAGCTAACCCCGCTTAGCACACCTCAAGACGAAGAGGATGAACAAGGCTTACCAGATACAGAAGGTGAGCAGGAGCATACACAGCTTACCAAAGGAGTTGTTTCTCCAGAAGGTCAGGACACGCCATATCTAACACGGTCAGGAAGGGCAAGCAAGAGACGCTCTTACCTTAAAGAATATGTGGTTTAGATAAGAACATTTACGGTCAGTTGTTTCTGCTGTTTACGGTCATTTGTTTCAGTTGTTTTACAGGCTACAGGACATTAAAGCTTGTTAGAAAAAAAAAAATATATAAAAGGGCATGTAACAATGTATGGTATTATTGGCAACCGCTGACAAGTCGGCGTGCTAGGAATACGTAGTTTTTACGTTCTACGCGTTGGCGGACATTAAATGGTCGTTATATTGAATCTTGATCAATCCTGAGCTCTCAGGATCTTTACAGAAACTTGATAGAACATACATGTCGCTGCGGTGTCTCAGTTGCAACTTTTGATATCATTCGTTAGATAGGCAGCCATTACATCAACAATGTACCAGATTCAATTTCAGTCCGTTACCTTGTGGAAATAGTAAACGCGGTGAGAGCTCTCGGAAAGATCAATCAAAATGATTGGTCTTTTAAGGCGTGATATTTATCGACTTATATAATATGTGTTGGTGGCAAAAAGATATTTTCATGGCCTGAAAGCTGATGCAAGTCAAAAGGACAATTCGCCATCTTTGATCACATCGCACCTGGAGTTTTTTTCAGCGGTCAACTTTGACATTCATTTGGCAGGTTGCGTTTCTAGTCTTCAAAATTTAAAATGTAACAAAAATGTACCGCTCCCAAAATATTTGACTTAAGCTTGTTAAGACAGTGGCTGGTCCACCGAATAACAAATAATCCGGTTATGTATAGGTCTCCCCTCAACACAAGGAAAAAGAAAATGTTTGAAAACTTGACACGTTTATAGGAATCACTTACAAATTTCATCCGAAGCTTACTGCATGTACTCGATATGTAATCTCTTGCTGTATACTGTCATATCTGCCCTTGGAGTGCACTTCTAACTGTTTATATGACATACACGCTCGACCGCTGAAAAATGTTGCCGGCTTGGTAAAGGATGACGCAGCGTTGATCATGTAAAGGGAGGAACTAGGAGAACTAGTTTACCTCGAGATCCAGTGATCCTTTAGCAACCTTCCAACATTGTATGTGTTCGGAAATCAGCAATATTCATTTTTAGTAAAGGACAAGGATGCATCAGTGTCAAAGTTATCCAATTCAGTTAAAAATGATTATGAGATCAGTTTGAAAGAAGATATCTATCAAGCTTTAATGCCACAATGCTAATCACACTACCACCGACTTTCTGTGGTTGAAGATATATTCTACCCAAGACCTAAGGTTACTTCCCACCTTCGCGG